CTGTGTGAATGTGGGCCAGGTCTTCAGCTGGCTGAGGAGGAGAGTCCTTGGGATCCTTCACAGAGAGGACTCTGAGAAGACCGGGAAGATGCGCCATAGGTGGGCGGCCAAGACAATGCGCCGTCCTAGAAGCCACAGAATTCAGCCCGGAGAACTTCCTCACGATTAGGACAGCCCTGAATCCCCAGGATTTTAAAATATTTGCTCTTCTTTTCCCCAAAATCCACTTTGTTTTTTTAATAAATAGTAAAATAAGTTTTTTATAATTAATAAAACAAGTGTTCTTGATCCAAATCTAGACTATGTATTGCTCTTTTAAATAGAACTAGCATCAGTTGCCCTTAAGAGAAGATAAATTATTCCTCAATACACTGAGAATAAAAAATTTAAAAATTCATCCATTGAAAAATATTTACTAAGCAATTGTGATGTACCAGGCAAGTAGACTAGAGTACCAGAGATATAGCCATGAGCAAGAAGGCATGACACCAGCTCTCTGGGGCCCTACACGGTGTGGGAGGAAGGAATGCAAACAGCCAAACCAGAAATATAAAACAAAGGCTATAAAGCAAACGGAGGAAGACAAGGGGTAGAGAGTAATTCAGACTGTCAGGAAGGCCTCTCTGTTGAGCAGAGGCCAGAAAGCCCCAATTGCTCAGCCAAAAGGAAGCAGAGGCTTTGGGAGCCAGGAGACGGCTGGTGTTGGGGCTGAGATGGAATGGTGTTTGAGGGACCACAGGCTTGACATGAGGAGGCCAGGATGGGTGGCACGTGCTGAGCTCGGGAAGAGGCCTAGGGGATGAGTGCTGGACTGGTCATTCTCCATGGTGTTTTCTTTTTGTCTTTTTGACACAGGGTCTCGCTGTGCAGTTCAGGCTGTCCTTGAGCATGCTTTGTAGCCCAGGCCGGCCTAGAGCTCTCAGTGATCATCACACCACAGCCTTCTGAGTGCTAGGATTACAGACATGCACCACCACACCTGCCTGCATTGAGCTTTCAAAGGGAGCCAAGTGCCAAGTGGACATTCACGGCACAGTGGGACGGCCCTGTGTTCAGGCCTTCCCAGCACCATCTCATCTCTGAGCTGCAGTGTTGGCAGTGTGGCTGGGACGGGTATCCCCAAACTGAGTGCGGGCGCATGGAGACTCGTGTTAAAGGCTGTGTCTTTTGTCCCCTTGTCTCCACACCACCTCCTCCACCTGGTGCTATGCTCAGGGAGGCCACCTCCGGAGGCCCTCGTCCTCTGTCACTGGTGCATTCACCTAAAGGGGGCCTAACAAGAGGCCTTAGGTTGGTGTGGCAGCGAGGGTCCCCTAGTTGTCCCATTCCCTGCACCTGTGCATTCAACGGGAGGCCCCTGATTAAGCTGTCTGCAGGCCACCCCAGGTGAACATGCCATGTGCCGTGTGTTTTCTGCAGGAGCTTCATCTGACAGCAGCTAAAGTTAGGAATTCAGAGCAAATTTGCCTGGTCTAGCATGGCTTTCTTAGCCATCTTGTTCAATGCCTCCCCATCAGGATGGAAGAAGATGCTATGCCATGGTGACCTAGGCCGTCTGCTTTCAGACCTGGCCCTGTCCCCCACTTCCTGTGGAATTTGTGCCTCACGTTCCTTATCTGTGAAATGGGGTAATGTCAGAGCATCTTGGGCTTGTCACGTCTACTTAGTGACTGAATACTGCAGCAAAGCCAAAGCAGTGCCCGGCACGCATTGCGCACACTCACGGAGGGGTTGAGGCTCCGTGTCAGCACAGAGCTGGGCGTGGACACAGACGGAGACAGTTTCCTGGGGAGGAGACCAGACACCGGGCCTCAGATCCTGATGACTCTGCTGTAGGTTTGCGGC